GAAGTAGAAATCATAAGGACTCTTGCTTTCAACGAAAATAAAACTTATTTATTAAGTTTTATGGTTCAATAAAACCCGCTTTATTATGATTTGTAAAGCACTCTGAAATCTTTAGTTGGGCATTTCAAAATTTAGGTTGATTATTTCCATATTTACAGAGAGAAAAATTATATTAGTCAAGCCCAAAGGACATGTAGCATTTCTAATCAAAGTTTATTTGCTTTGGCGCATTTCAAGTAATGGCTAGCATATAATGGCTTCAACTGGATTCTAATAAAATTCTGATCATCATCTCACAGCAATTATGGCATAGGAAGAAAGTTATTTATTGCAAGACCTAACAGGCACTATCTATTCTACTGTGAACAGATACGGCAGTGCAAACAGGCAGCTGTTTTTTAAAGCATGCATGTTTGCGTTGAATGTAAATGTATGTAAATACTTCAATTTTAATATTTTATTATTGTCCAAACAGTTTGCCAAAGAATACTCAGTAAATAATTTAAAGCTATGCAATATCATTCCTTTCTTTTATTGCTTATAATTTGGTACTCTAGATTCCTCTGTATATAGAACCTAGATCTAATCTAGGTTTATAAATATGCTTAATTAAAAAAAACACTAAAATTGTTCTTTTGAATGTTTGTTTACAAAATACCCTAGTTTGTAAATATCCAGAAAGGTATTCAAAGCTCATTATCCCCCTATAATGTTTTCAGCACATTTGTTTTCATGCACTTGCTAATACACAGTGTGTACTAATGGGTCTCCTGTAATGTCCTCAGTACTTACTCCTTGCTGAACTCTGTATTAGTTCCACTGGAGAATTACAAAGGAAGTGATATTTGTTACTTTTAAACCATTGCTTTTTAAATTTTTTGCATACATATACAGCCTAATTCCCAGAAGGATTTGGGGAAGTGGGGGTGGGGCTTGTGACAACAGAAATGAAGAAATGAAGAAAGCCTCTTCACTGTTATGCTCTGCTTCTCCCTCCAGAGCCATCGACCCCCTTGCTGCTCATTTAGTTAAGTTTCCAAAATGTGAAATTGTGTGGAAGTCAGGGACTTCCCTTTTAATATCTAGCTGCCAGGAACATACGGTTTGACAATTCAGAACAGGGCACACCCATCACAGTGGGCACTGGTGTTAGTTATCAGCATGCCTGTGTGGGTGTGGTCAGCTAACGCCAACCCTGCACATGCAAAAGTCTAAAGCTTAGCACACACCTGACCCTGTAGAAATGCAAAAGCATTTGAGAAAAGACAACTAAGGATGACCTTGCGGTTAAATTGGCTTGTCTGTACTAAAACACCGGATTCCCCCAGCTCTGTGGGAGTCCACTGATTCCAAACTCTGATAGCTCACTTTGGCAGATGACCACGGGCTGGTGCAGAAGATAAACATGACTCTCTAAGGCCCTCTGAGGTGCATTCATCTGCCTCATTTTACCTTTTGCATCAGGCAGTGGAGTCAGCTTTGGCTAGATGTGCATCATTGACGCTGTGTCTAAGCAGAAGTCAGCAGAGCCCTGCGGTTTCCAGGAGCCCTCACATTTCTGCCAGTGCAGGTATTTTGAAGGTTTTGTCATTACTTAGTTACTTAAAGCGATTTGTCTCACACTGGACTGTTCTTATAGATGCTCAGTTCCGATGTCCATTTCTAGGGTGGTAGAGCTTGACCAAAGTGCTTGTTGTTTTTCAATAGGATCCACCATGGCAGAGGGACATGACAATAATCTTTAAGGGTGTAGGTACATTTTAAGAAAAGATGCTGATGCTGCGAGTCTTGAACCAAGACTGAACAAATATTTATAACTCCGGCCTGAGTACTGCACTTCCTTAAATAGACAAGTACACACAGCCTTCATCAGCATAGCTACAAGAACATGTTAGAGCCAACTCAGAGGTCATGGAATCCTGGATAATTAAAACATCCACTTTTGAGAGCCAGCCTTGCAAACCACTGCAAAATACTTGCTTGAATGGGAAAGTTTGATGAACCCAAATATCACCCAGAACAGCCATGTGTATAATCAAGAACAGCAATCTAAAATCCCATGTTGAGGACACCAATGCTGTTAACACTTCAACAAGTAAAACTGCACGCTTTCAAAGTGAGGGATGATAGCGAATGGCTGATGTTTACTGTATCCCAAGAAAGGTATGTGAAAAATGCTTTACATGTTCTAATTCATTAATCCTGACGGCTCTAAGAGGTGGCTTTGACAATTTTCTCTATTTTACAAAACTCAAAAGTTCTATGTTTATGGAAAGGCTTTCTCTCATGTTCACAATTGAAAAGTTCCTTAATATTTAATACCATATAACCTTGGGACTTGGTAGGCATAAATATTTTATAACTGAAATGAACTGTTAAATACGATAAGTTCTCGGTTGTTAACCACAGTATAAACCAGAATATATACCTTCTTAGCCATAACTCAGATACCAGGCTCTTTTTTCATCATTATTTTTTTCAAACTATAAGAGAACATTTGCTTACAAAATCAGACGTAGAAGAAGTAATTCACAGAAGAAATGGACTTAGGAAACAAGTTATAGATGTAAAGGAAGGGTCCTTGGAGCTAGAGTGAGGAATGCAATGGTCCCTTTAATCATTACTAATGCCATTCTAATGATGACCTGTGGGTACTAAGTCAAATGAAAAGGCTGAAATATGGTCACCGAATTTTAGTCAGGGTTATGTTTATGGGATTGTAATTATTGAATTGATCAATCTCCGAGTGTTACATTGAATATGCTCTTAGTCACTTGACTCCTCATTTGCAAACACCTACTTGAACTGACTATGGCTGTTAGCCTCCGGAGAGGTCAGGACTCTCCACATTTACTATTATTCTGGAGAATGGAAATTGCTCTTGAGAGACAGTCATGCTGTTAATAAGGATTCTAACCTGTGACCAGCTCCCGGATCTCCAGGTCGGTGGTCTTTCGGAGTAGCCTCACCAGCGCTGGGATGCCACCACAGTTTTTCAGAGCAATCTTGTTGTCATCGTTGGCCTTCCCATACACCAAGTTTCTCAAGGCTCCGCAGGCACTACGGTGGACTTCTGTCATCCGATGGTCCAACAGGTCCACCAGGAGCTGGATGCCTCCTTGTCTCCGTATCTGAAAGAGCAAAGGACACACCTTGTGCCTTAGAGAGGAAGCTTTCGGTTCTTAAATCAAAGCGGTGTTTTCATGTAAAGTAGCTGCTACAATTAATTGCACTGAACTGAATTAAGGCACAGAAACAAAAAAGAAAACAAATGTGTGCTCTCATTAGATTTTATTGCATTTACTTGCTTTAACATCCTACTGATAAACATTCAAATGCATTTCTTTTCAAGCTATGGAATTTTGGAAAGGAGATTTTAACTTTCTAATGGATTTCAGACCCATCTCTCTGTAAAAATATGCCCACATGCATGGCATGAAGCAGATAGAGGACCAAAAGAATCCTTCTCACTCCCAAGACTGACCACATTTAACCACTGTCTTAAAGGGCTGCAGAACTGATGTACAAAATGTTAAAATTATGCTTAATAGGGAAATGCTCCCAATATTTCAAAGGATCCAGAAGCTAAATGAGAAACCAGAAGATTTCATACAAGGATTTTCATCTGAGAAGACCTGGAAAATAAAGTCACTCGCCATGAGAGCTAGTCAGAACAGTAAGACCTAGGTATGTTATGCTTAACTTAGGTATTTGATTAATAGCAGCAACAAAATCAATTTTGGTGTTCTTTTTACCCAAAGAAAATTTTGATGTTTTGATAAAAACATACATTGGAATATGTTTCTAGATGGTGTTACCCTTTAATTTTTTAGACCAATTTAAAAATTTAAAGCAAAAAACTGGCTAGTTAACATACAGACTATTTTGTACAAAGCTGTACTTATATATTTCTGCACTTATATGAAAAAATAATAATACAATCCATTCAGTAATATTGTTTTCTTTCTTTAACTTCAATATCCCTCAGAAACTGAAGAATTATAATTTGGCATGATAGCGTATAATATGGCACCTTCCCTACTTAGTTTTCTTATTATAGAAAACCCATTCATCCTGCATATGTGCTGGGGCACGTGGCTCAATGACCCAAATCTTTCAAAGATGCTCAAATCCCACTATCTCTTATGAAGCTACTCCAACCACAGTATTTAACACTGCAATCTGAACCATGCCCCCCACCCCAATCCAGCATTCTTGTTTTAATTTAACCTGTTATAGAATTCTTTATAACACTTGTCATGTTCTAACTTCATTGTTATGGTTACTGTTATTGTCTGTCTTCTTCTAGAAGTATGTTCTTGGAGAGCAAGTTTTGTTTCATAAACTCTATGCCTATTCTAAGTAAAAGGCCAGGCACAGAGTAGATTTTCAATAAATAATGAATTAGGAGGGAGAGTATATTACTTGTTACAGTAGTGTTTCTCAGATTAGCTAACACTCAGCTTTTCAAAACCCAGTAATATCCCTCTTCAAAGGAAACAAAAGACCAGACCCTTTGTGACCAGGTCAGAATATCTCTGGGAGCTATAGCAGACCTTCCCACATCAACTTACAAATGAAATGATATAAGATGGGCCATCTGATGATTCAGAATGTGCCTGTAGGAATTCTTTTCATCCATCAATAAAATAAAAACACAAAAAGTTGTAATACTTAGAACTCACAGACTCCACATCTATGGAAAGCATGAATGTGTTTACTTCCTATAAGAACAGAACACGGAAAGGAAGAGAGAGGACCTGGTTGTCAAGGGAATTAATTTCCCTGAGGTGCCTGCATAGTCTATGGTGGTGACAGCACCCAGGGAAGGTGACTAAAGGGGTTATTGGGTTAATTTTAAACAGAGAGAAAGAATTGGAAAACAACTTTTTCCCAATTTACAGTTTTACCAAGGACCTGTTTGGCACCCATCCAAGGGAGATGAAAGTTTTTATCACTGTATACATGTGTCTTTGACATACAGCTGGGAAATAACATCAACTTTATTATAGTATGTCAGGAGGGATATTCCAGTTTTATGAAAAAGTTAAACTATGAATGTCATTTTCTCTATGTGTGTATTTGCATGTGTGTGCTTTACTTAAACATTCCCTGGGTTTAGCTATCTTAATAATGATGAAACCATGAAAAAGAGGTAATAAAGCCATTCTCAGTTAACCAATTGGTTATATATTGAAAGCAGATGGTATAGTAAATCTATTTTATCTATAGATTAGCTATATTATTTATTATAGTTAATATTCTTAACTTATGATAATATATTCTTATTAGTACAACATAATGAATCAAGCTATTAAAATATTATTGCAAAGCACTAAAGGGAAAATGAATTCAAAACAAATGCAATATCAATTCTTAACGGCATAATGAGAACACAATGTATTCAGTGTGACCCTAATTAATGCCATATATTTAAATTTATAGCAAAATCTTAAATTCTATTTTAATCTACTTAGAGAAACACAAATAAGATGCTACAATTTTCTTTCTGCTGTTTTTATGGGGTGGGGGAGAGGAAGGGGGTGGTCACCTGATCATCAATATTAAAAACTTCTGTTTTTTGGGGTTAAATTTATCTAAGAATGTGGTAATCCTCCTTTAGTTTTTCTGAGGCCAAACAGTAGTCAGAGCTGATATTTAAACATTCACTGGATGTGAAATGTGATGGTTGGGTCCTAGCTTCTTCCTCCTTCTCCCGCCACCTCCCCTCTCCCAGCAGGACCAGAGGGAAGCCAGGAGGCAGACTTCTAATTCTCTTACAGGGTTTTTGTACTTACAGGGACTCTGGGTGGCTATGGAGGGGTCCGACGCTGCACTCTGCATTTCCCCTCTGCTTTTCCTGGATCCTCCCTCCCTTTGACTTTTCCTCACACCTATTCTTCTAATTTCCTCTTATATCCAACCTTAAACCCTTATAAGACACTAAACCTATTTTAAACATTAATGAGGTACAGCTTCTCTTTGAAAAACTATCAGGGAAAATTCTATTCTTTGAAATGGCACCTTTATTCCCTCTCCCACTAAAAGGCAAGCAATCTCCACCCCATTTATCCTTCCCATTGGTCACTCCCCATACAGCAGGCAGGCTCTTGTTTTGGCCAGATTGCCCTCTTCCGTTACTCCCCTAAGTATCATCATGCACAATTCTTCAAATCAAATCTTAAATAATTCTAGGTTTAATATTAGTAAAACAAATCAATAAAATGCTATATATCTAATATATGGAAAACATAACAAAATAAAATGCACGTGATAGTAAATTAATAAATATTTGTCAATGAATGGAAAAATGGTGCAGTTGTTTTTCACCTGTTAGTGTCCTTCTATCTGACTCTCCTTTTTACTCTCTTTAAATAGACCTAGTTTTTTTAGATCAGTTTAATGTTCACAGTGAAATTGAGCAAAAAGTACAGTTCTTAAACATGTACTCATGCATGCACAGGCTCCCCATTATCAAGGTCCCCCACCAGAGGGGTACATTTGTTCTAACTGAAGAACCTGCACTGACACATCATTATCACCCGAGTCCATAATCTAAATTAGGGTTCACTCTTGGTGTTGCACATTCTAGGGGTCTTGACAAATGTTTAATCTCATGTATTCATCCTTATAGTATCATACAGAATAATTTCGCAATCCTAAATGCTCTGTGCTCTGCCTGTTCACCCCTTCCACCCTTCTCCCTAACCTTTAAAAAACACTGATCTTTTTATTGCCTCTATGGTTTTGCCTTTTCCAGAATGTCATATGGTTGAACTCATAAAGTATCATAATGTATGTAGCCTTTACAGATTGGCTTCTTTCACTTAGTGGTATGCATTTAATGTTTTGATAGATAGCTCATTTTTTGTTAGTACTGAGTTATATAGTAGTGAATTATATTCACTATCTGGATATAGCACAATTTATTGATCTTTTCTTTTATTTAATCCTCACTCAAGGATACTTTTCCATTGATTTTTAGAGAGAGTAGAAAAGAGAAGGAAAGACAGAGTTAAAAAATATTAATGTGAGAGAAACACATCAACTGGTTGCCTCCCACATACACCCTGGGAAGGGCCCAGGCTGGAGAGGAGCCTGCAACAGAGGTATGTGCCCTTGACCAGAATCAAAACTGGGACCCGTTGGTCCACAGGCCCATGCTCTACCCACTGAGAAAACTGGCTAGGGCTAGCACAGTTTATTTATCCATTCACTGATTAAAAAACATCTTGGTTGCTTCCAAGTTTGGGCAATTATGAATAAAGGTGCTATAAACATCCCTTGGCATGTATTTGTGTAGACCAAAGTTTTCAACTTCTCTGAGTAAAGACCACGATTGCTGGATTGTGCAGTAAGGGTATATATAGTTTTGTAAGAAACTGTCAAACTGTTTTTCCAAAGTGGTTGTATTATTTTGCATTCCAAGCAGCAATGCATGAGAGTCACTGTTACTCCACTTCCTTGCCAGCATTTGGTTTTGTCAGTGTTTGGGGTTTTGGCCATTCTGGTAGGTTGAAGTGATAGCTCATTGTGTTTTCTTCTTTTTTAAGACTGTGTGACTCAGGTTTATTTACATTAATAGAAATGATTGAATAAAAACAATGTTGAGGTCCACATAGGGAGGTGTAGCTTGAATTGGATTTGAAATGAACAAATTTTATATCTGCTACTTCCTTGAACTTGATAGGCTCAGGGAATGATAAGAAAGCTCTTCATACATAACCTGAGTAGACAGTTTTAAATTCATTTACTATATGATTCTCTAATAAATGGTCCACTTTAGTAAATTGTTCCTATATCAATAGCTTTCATTTTTCTACTTAGCTATGACCTTCGGGGATCTAGACAGAGAGAGAAAAATGGGGGCTGATGGATCCCATACCCAGGAAAAAAATTTAAAAATGGGTTAACAAATCAAACAAAGCAAAACTATGCTCTCCCGCCTGTCCTCCCCAGTGTTTACAGAGAGGGCGTTCTTAAACCTGCTGCAGTCTCTTGGGGAGAAGGCTGGGATGTTTGTGTGTAGAATCACTGAAGCTCACCCAGTTTGTGTTGAGGGAGAACGAAATCGGCCTCCACACCGTTGCCATGCAAACCACTGCTTTAAACTATTTTTACAATTTAAACT